CACACACACACAAATCCCGATCTACAGACTTCAACAAAAGTTAAGGACCACCTTGGCAGACAGCTTTGATTTTTTTAAAATCCGAAAAAAAAGACGGCAAGGAATGTTTCAATTTTTTTTTGCTCTGAAAGTGTTGATGGGTTACCAATGTGTACTGCAAAGATTCCTAAAGGGGCAAACCCACCACGTGCTGCACGGAAATTCTCTGGGAATTTTAGCCAAATTTGCTGTTTTTTATCGACTTGTGTGCAACACCAGGGACATTCCTCAGTTAAAATTTCACGTCATAAACGGACGGACGGTCTCAAACTGTGCTCACTTTGGTGGCAATATAAGCCAGTATTGCATCAACATACCACCAAGACGAAAGGTGGGAGACTTTGATGGTGCCAGGGCTATGGCATGGCTGCAGGATGGAGTTGGAGCCCGAGAAGTTGCCAGAAGGCTTGCAGTGTCACACTCTGTCATTGTCCGCCTGAGGCAGCGCCATCAAGCCACTGAGTCCATCCAAGAGCGCCCACATGCAGGTCCACTCAAGAAAACCACTCAGAGAGTTTGCAAGTGGTCCTGAACTTTTTTTAAAGTCTGTAGATCTAGATCTATGGTTATGCAAGGACGATATGCCAAGAGCAGAACGCTGCTGATAACTTCGGGTCCTCACAATTATACATCTAGATCTAGCCTAATTATAAGAACATTAAGGGTCGCGTCATGCTCACACAGGGGTGGGGGGTGAGAATTACGGGTCATGCTCACACCGGGGGGGGTGAAAATTGCGGGTCATGCTCACACACACAGGGATGGGGGTGAGAATTACGGGTCATGCTCACACCGGGATGGGGGTGAGAATTGCGGGCCATGAGTTATTCTCACCAGGGCTGAGAATATAGGTGGCCATATTTATAACCCTGCACTCACTTCTGTTTCACTGGCGACACACGTGACTCTTCAATGTCTCTCCTGTAGCCCAAGAGAGAGAGAGAGAGAGAGAGAGAGAGAGAGAGAGGGGGAGAGAGAGAGAGACAGAGAGAGAGAAAGAGAGAGAGAGAGAGAGAGGGAGATAGAGAGAGAGAGATAGAGAGAGAGATAGAGAGAGAGAGACAGAGAGAGATAGAGAGAGAGAGACAGAGAGAGAGACAGAGAGAGAGAGACAGAAAGAGAGAGAGAGACAGAGAGAGAGAGAG